GTGCAGGAAATGGAGTTGGAGGAGATGGGGTGAAGTACAGAATGTCAGGAAATTGAATAGAAATATGCACTAGTAGAAGATGCAGAACTAGGGATAGCTACTAGAAAGTCCCAGATGCCAGGGAAGCAAGATATTTCTTGAACCCAACAGTGATGACATTAGCCCAAATACCCAAAAAGCAAAGACAGAACTTCTAGAAACCATATTCAGTGGATAGGTATGGAACCTGTTTGAGGTTTCAAAAATTTTAACCCAGAATTGTTCCTGTCTAAGAGAAATGCAGGCATAAAGAGTGAAGCAGAGACTGAAGGAAAGACTATCCAGAGTCCACACTACCTAGTGATCCATCCCATCTGTAGATACCAAACCCACACACTATTACTGATTCCAAGAAGTTCTTGCTGACAGGAGCCTGGTATAGCTGTCCGCTGAGAGACTCTCCCATTGCTTGGCCAATACAGATGTGGATGCTCAGAGCCAACTACTGGAATGAGAATGGGGACCCTAATAAAAGAGTTAGGGGAAGGACTAAAGGAGTTGAAGGGGATTGCAAACCCACAGGAAGAATAACTATATCAACCAACCAGACCCCACAGAGCTCCCAGGGACTAAACCATCAACCAAAGAATACACATGGTGGGACAAATGGCTCCAGCTGCATACGTAACAGAGGCTTTCCTTATCAGACATCAATGGGAGGGGAGGCCCTTGGTCCTGTGGCAACTCGATGCCCCAGCATAAGAGGATGCTAAGATGGTGATGCAGGATCTGGTGGATGGGTGGGGGAGTACCCTTATAGAGGCAGGGGGAGGAGGATGGGATGGGGGTTTGTGGAAAGGAAACCAGGAAGAGGGACAATATTTGAAATGTAAATAGTTAAAATAACCAATAAAAAAATCTAAAAAAGAATGAGGAAATCATGAAATTTTAATGAAAATTTTTAAAACTAGAGAATATTTGTGACATAACCTAGACCCAAAGGTAGATACATGGTATATACTCACTGATAAGTGAATATTAATCAAAAAGTACAGAATGACCATGATAAAACCCACAGACTATGTTAAACAAAAAGTAAAACCCAAGTAAGGATGTTTCAATACCACTTAAAAGGGAAACATTATAATCATAGGAGGCAGTGGGAGGGAGGGACCTTGGTAGAAGGTTAGGAGAGGAAGAAAAGAGTGTAGATAGGTACAGAGGAGACAAGAGAGAAGCCCGAATGGCCAGAAGAATGAATGGAAATATGCAGCTGTTGGGTGTGTAGGAGAAACCTCTAAAAAGCCCCAGAGATTTGGAATGTGAGTGGCTCCTAGGACTCATTGGGGATGATCTTAGCTGAAATGTACAACAGTGGAGAGAGGGAACCTGAAGAGACCACTTCCAGTAGATAAATAGGGCTCTTCTGTGGAGAGATGGTGGTCACCAATATATCTTCAAAATTTTTGACCCAGAATTGTTCCTGTCTAAAATAAATTCACGGACAAAGTTGGAGCAGAGATTGAAGAAAAGGCCATCCAGTCACTGACCCAACTTAGGATTGACCCATGGACCCCCAGCAAACTCTGACACTTTTAATGATGCCATGTTGTGGTTTTGCAGACAGGATCCTAACATGGCTGTCCTCTGAGAGGCTCTACCAACAGCTGACTGAGATGGAAGTAGATACTTACAGCCAACCATTGGACTGAGGTCAGGGACTGCAATGGAAGAGTTAAGGGAAAGACTGAAGTAGCGGAAGGGTATGGAAACTCCATAGGATGACCAACAGTATCAACAACCTAGACTCCTGGGATCTCTCAGAGACTGAGTTATCAACCAAAGAGCATGCATGGTCTGGTTCATGGCCCCCAGCATTTATGTACCACCTTTTCTACATACACTGAACCTATTAGATGAGAATATAGATATGGTAATCTTGAATTAATAGGTATAGAAAATATCTTCATGACGAAAACACAAATATCATAGGCTCTAAGATCAACCATTTATTCATGGGACCTCATGAAACTGAGAATCTTCTGTGCAATGAAAGATAATCTTCACCACTACAGATGTGAGCCCATAGAATAGGAAAATATCTTCACCAACATAACATCTGACAGAAGGCTAGTATTCAAAATACATAAAAAACTCAAGAAAGTAGACAGTGATAAACCAAACATTTCTACTGAAAAATGAGGTACAGATCTAAACAGAGAATTATTAACAGATGAACCTCACTTCAAGAACTACTTATTGTTCTTAGCTAACATTCATAGCCTATCAGGGAATTTCAATACAAAAGAATTTTGTAATTCCATCTTGCACCTATCAGAATTCATAAGACAAGAATCTCAAGTGCCATCACATGCTGGCAATGATGTGGACCAACAAGGAATGTTTTACAGTGATGATGGGAGTGCATACTTATACAGTCACTTTAGAAATCAATATGGAGGTTTCTCAGAACATTGGAAATTAATGTACTTCATGACCTACTTATAACACTCCTGGGCATTAAACCCAAAGGATGTGCTATCATATCATAAAGACACTTCTTCAACCCTGTACATAACAGATATATTCATAACAACTAGAAACTGAAAACAATATAGATTTCACTAAACTGAAGAATGGTTTTTTTTAAAAATGCAGTGCATTTACACAGTGTAGTATTACACCACTGTTAAAAACAATGGCATCATACATTTTGTAGCTAAATGGATGGAGCTAGAAAAAAATCATACTAAGATAACCTAAATCCAGAAATACAAACACAGTATGTACTCCCTCAGAACTGAATTTTTCTGTAAAATAAAAGACAATCCTACCATAGTCCATAGACCCTGAGAGGCTAAGTAATATTAAGGGACTAAGGTTCCCTTAATGCAAGAATCTTTATGGAAAGGTAAATAAAATCGATTTTCCAGGTGGATTCAGAGTGAGTAGAACTGGGAATAAGAGGAGTCATAGGAGGAACAAAGGTATGAGTAAATACTGAAAAAAATTGAATTGGGGGCATTTCAAGGGCAATTTGGAAATGTGGTGCAATGGAAACTCCATGTAATTTATGAGCATAACCTTAGCAAATACTCCTAGTAATGGGAAACAGGGCCTGAATTGGCCATCTTCTGTAAAAAGGCAAGACCTCAAGGTAAGTGATTGGGACAGCAACATGGTCACAAGACCTTCAGCCTAGTTTTCCCTGCCTCAAGATTATGCTGAGACCAGTGCCTAGTAGAAACAGGATCAATGAGACCAGAGAGATTTCATACAGCAATTGATAGGAGCAAATGCAGGGTACCACAACCAAACAATAGACAGATCTTGAGGAGTCCTCCTGATAAGGATTGAAGGAATCAGGAGGATCAGCAGACACACTAAGAGAATATACTCCATAGAATCAGGGACTGGGACTCACGAGATATTGAGAGATAGTGGAACCTGTAGCTATCTCACCTAGGTCCTCTAATGTGTATCATGGCTGGGTAGATTCATAGTCTTGTGGAATTCCTAACTGTGAAAGCAGGAGATGTCCCTGATTCTTTTGTCTCCTTGTAGGACTCTTTCCCATTTCCTGGGTTGCTTTTCCAGCCTTGAGGTATTGAAATGTGCCTAGTCTTATTACAGCTTGATATACCATATTTGGTTGATATCTCAGGAAAGCCTGCTATTTTCTGAGGAAGGCAGAGGGGAATCATGTGGAGAAGGGTGGAAAGAAGGGAGTTTGGAGGATGTGGTGGAGAGGAAACTGCAGTCAGGATGTAATATATAAGAGAATAGAAGAAAATAAAGAAACAAAATAGAAAGTCCCTCAGGAAACACTGACCACTTAGTACTCTATTAAGTACATCTATGAGTCAAGAGCTAGAAATCAGCACTCAACATATTCACTAGTAAAACCATACCTCCATGAACGTCTCAAAACACTACTTGGGCTTCTGACATCTCATTTGCCATCATTGTGTTAAAAACTCTATCCTAGTAAAGGGCAATGGTCAACCTGCTCAACAGCTACTCTTACACTTTCCCAACAATAAGGAGCAGATTGTGAAGGTCAATTTGTCAACAACAATCTGCTCTCTTTCTTGCCACATCCTGCTGCTCTATCTCTGTGTCTATCTCTGTCTTTCTCTGTGTCTCTCTCTGTCTGTCTGTCTATCTGTCTCTGTCTCTGTCTGTCTGTCTGTCTGCCTCTGACTCCCTCTCTGTCTCTGTTTCTCTGTCTCTCTCTGTCTCTCTCTCTCTCTCTGTTTCTCTCACTGTTTCTCTCTGTTTCTCTCTCTGTTTCTTTCTCTGTTTCTCTCTCCTCTCTCTCTCTCTCTCTCTCTCTCTCTCTCTCTCTCTCTCTCTCTCACTAATACTCTCTCTGACACTGAAAAGAAGTTGGTCAAGCATGCTTAAATGATGACCAGAGGCCAATAAACTTCCAAAAGATGCTGAAACATACCAAACACAGTGTTAGTCTTGCTCTCTTCCCAAGCAGGGTACATGGAAATCATCCTGGTGGGCAGCACCACAGTCTGCCATTTCAGCTACAAGGTAACTTACCAACATCTAAAGAAACCATACTCACTCAGGCTTTAAGAATTCATGCACCAGGGCAAATTGCTCCTATAGCCTTGACTACAGTGTCTTTCTCTGCAGCAGCGCTCCAGGGCTCCAATAAACTTTAAGGCTTCTAAGAAGCCTACATACAGGGCCTGGTTGGCATCCCCTGTGTGTAGATTCAAGCTTTGGGGACACTGCTACTCCTATTTATGATTCAGAGTCTTCTCTCTGCCAGCAGGTCACTCCCAGGAGCTACCAGGACTTCTTTCTTGAGACTGCACCTCAGCAAGAGCACAAGGATGTTACCAGCAAACCCTATATGGGTTGTTCTCATCAGTATCACACATGATAACAAAGTCCTAAAGAGATAGGCCTCTCATCAAGGTGTCTGACTATAAATAGAAAAGGACAAGGGTGTGGATTATAAGCCTGTTTGACTCCAGAGGATGTAGGTGACTGAATGTGATAAATCTTAGCCCAGACGAGAGTGGTAGTACTAAGTAATCAATTATTTTGTTCAGATTTCCAGGGAATCTTTGGGAATCATCATTGATCAAGGCACACTATAGTGCCCTTGTGCAAAGTATTTCAAGGTACTATGCAGAGTGTGTGTATTAGTGAGTATGAGAAATTCCAAAACTTTCAGCATCAAAGGACTTTCAAAGTCACTAAAACCGTCAGAAAACTAAAAAACTTTCATAGTCACTAAAACTGCTATAGGTCAAGACAGGACTAGGTGAAGTTGTGGTAGGTCCTTACGGCTTAAGCAAAAAATGCTAGACTCATTAGTAATTGGAGAAATTCAAATACAGCTTACCTTTAAACTCTAGTGGTCCTCAGGCAAGGCAGACATACCAAGCAACTTGTCTGGAGTATCATTCTAATATTGTCACCCCTCATCCAAAGATGTTTATCATGTATATCTGTACTTTGTCTGTAGGCCCCACAGAATGTGACCCTGAAAAGACAGATCAAAGCACATTACTTAAATACAGAAGGCCAAATGTAAATTTGTGTGTATGGCCCTAGCTGGGTCTGAACCTGAGGCCCATGCCTGGCCCTCCTCAAACCTGTCTTCCAGGCTTGCAAAGTCAGTGAGGGTATTGTTCCATGGTTTCCTTGGGAATAATCTTATCAAGAGCTTGGCCTAAGCCTGTCTGCCTTCCTTGCCTTCAGAATGACTTCCGTACATGTCTGGAGTAACAAAACCAATCTCAGGGGATACAGCACATCAAGTCACTCCAAAACATCTATTTAAACATTGAGAAAGACCACAGGCACCCCTATGTATTCATAATTTCTAACACTTGCTGAGAAGCTTTAGCCCAATGTGTCCAACTTTTTCACCTATTTCACTTCCAGTTTCCCAGCAGTAAGTGACATACTTTCTAAGGACATATGAAGCAACTTCAGCTCTTTGTCTTTAGTTATGTCTGTCTCTTTCTGTCTTTCTATGTATCTATCTACCAATATGTCTGCCACTAAGCAGTTTTTCAAATGGCCACCAAACTGGAGACAAGACAAATCTTCCAAAAATATCACTAAAACTTCAGATTGTAATACATTATGTTGCCATTCTTCTTACAAAGTTCATTCAGACTCAAGAGAGACCCTTCTGCATACTGTGGGTGTGATGAAAAATACAGAGCAGTCCTGTCCTCTGACTCAAATATTGCCTTCAAGGTTTAAGTATGAGAATGGAGTGATGAATTCCAAATAGCTGGACTCAGCAGCTATCATTGACTTCCTTTGTCAACTAAGGCAACCATTATGCACTATCCATGATAAAAAGGCTCAGAACAAAACAAAAATAGGTTCAAGTCCCATAAATACAAAAATATAGACATGTCACTATTCTGAGGTCCACATTATTAGATAGCCTCACTATGACAACCATCTACATTTTTAAGGCTTGTTCAAGACATGTACTGTCACAATTTAGTGTCTCAGAAAGTCATTAGTCCTAGCAATCTTATATTCAGCACTCTTACATCTTTGCTTGGCCAGCTTCCTAGAGGAAGCCAGTTTGGTAGGCCAAAGATTCCCAGGGAACTACCATGACTATGTTGTGTCAATATACAATTATTTCTTTATACAACTGCATCATATAGAGATGCACAGATCTCACTATTTTCACCAGTTTACTGTGAAATCCAAGACTAAATTCTAGGTTCACATGTATGTGTGTAATTCAGGGGAAAAAACATGGATATGGATGCCTTCCATGCCTAACATATGTGCCTCTTGCTCATTTTCCAAACAGGTCCACAGAACTGCTTTCAATTTGTCAACAACACAATTTAGTCACAGGACTGTCTTGGCTAGCTGAAAAAAATAAAAAACAAAAAACACTCAACACACTGGGCCACAGATTCCATGAATCACAGCATAGTGCCTCCAGCCTTTACCAACTTCACACATGGTTTCTTGCTCTCTTTTCAACTGTGTCTTCCAAACCATGTTCTGACATTCAGGGATCCACACCGTTCCTACTCATTACCAAGGCAGATATAACTGATCACTATGCATTACACTGATAATTGCCCTAATAAAGCAAATTCTAAGACAGAGTCTTATTTCAATGTATTTTTGACACACTACTCCATGGTTACTACCAACCTCAGGTCTGGTAAGATATCCATGCAGAAGATACACACTTTTGGATGGTAGATAACTGTGCATCTGCTGCTTGTTTCTGTGATTCTGTTCTCTCATTTCATGCCACTCTTGCCTGCATAGCAACAATACCACAGGGAGCTTCCAAGGTACTCAAATAATGCTCACTTACTCCAGATATGTTTGTTTAGCAAAAAATATAAATACTTAGGCTCTTCTGTAAGGCAACTTTGCCAAATCTGGTAGTCAGCAAAGGCAGTGCAATGACTTAGAAATATCCGCTTGACTCATATAGTACTTGGATCAGTGAATGTTCTGCATTTTAGTCATGATTAGAATGGTGATAATGAGTATTCACTTACTTGGTTAGGCTCTTACAAATGAATATTTAACTGGAAATTACCATTTTGGCCAAGTAGGGTAGTGAGTGCTTACAATTAGGTGCCCAGTATACTGTTAAAATTGCAGAAATATGGTAAGTATGTTAAAATCTAAGACCTTCTGCATCCAGGAGTAGAAGGTGCTTTGCTTTCCCAAGGTAGCAACTCTCAGAAGCTTTAAATGTGATACATGGTAGAACCTGACAAGTTTGTGCAATTTTAGGTCATAGCATTTCTACCAAAACCTTAAGAGTTGTAACTGCTTTGGGGAATTCAATTAATGCTTACCAGTATCTTCTACTTTCTTCTGTGGGACATGCACCTTGAACCATATTGCATGAGACACTACTAGGTGCCTTCCTCCATCCATACATGGTTGGCACTTCCACCTATTGGACTGAAGGTATGATTCATGGGAGTAAAGCCTTGAGATGAAAACAAAGCACATAAATCTCTGTAGAGAAATAGATACTATGGTGGTGTTGCAATGCTCCAATATGACTGGGAACACAAGATGACACCTATTCCTTTCCTTCCCATGATCTCTCTACACCCTTTTATCAGACTGTGATGTCAGTGTTTTTCCCAAGGGCTTCTGTAGATGGAAATGACTTAGTGTCAAGGTCTTGCTCTCCAGTTGTCTCCCTGTCTAGCCAAAATAAGTGTCTTTGTACCTTTTTTACTGTAGTCACTGATAAAATCTAAATTCTGTAGATGGAAATGACTTAGTGTCAAGGTCTTGCTCTCCAGTTGTCTCCCTGTCTAGCCAAAATAAGTGTCTTTGTACCTTTTTTACTGTAGTCACTGATAAAGTCTTCTAATACATCAAATAATTCCAACCAAAGCAAATAAGTATTAAATTTCCATCAGTAGCCATCTTCTGACAATGTCTCTCCTTTTAAATATTCGTTCACTAATGGTATTTCTAAGGACAAGCTTACTGGATTTCTCTGACCTTTGCTAGCATTAAAGCTAGGCATTTCCTCCTAAACTGAAAGATGCCTCCAAAACATCACTTTCAAATAGAATTATTCCTCCATGTTGTCATTGTCTCCAAATGTGTGAACAATTCTCTGCCTCGTTTTATGAAGAATGGTCAACCCGAGGCACTGGTTGCACTTCTATCTCCCTATCAATACTTTTTATTCGATCCAGGGTTATGGGACACCAGAAATGTCTCTGCCTCTCTGTCTATCTGCTTTCTCTTTGTCTCTCTGTGTGTCTCTGTCTTTGTCTCCATATGTCTGTCTGTCTGTTTCCTTTCTGTCTTTCCAACCAATGTACAATTTATCCTTCTGAGCAGACAGCAATCCATTAACTTCATAAAAGTTTTCTTGGCTCTGGTATCTCCACACATTTGTAGACTTCTGAGTCTTCAGTTGCTCAATACATATTAGCACACACAATGCCCCTTTTGGACCACTAAATAGAACATAAAAGAAAAGCATCCTCTTTCAGTGTCTTAATATTCATGTGATGATGTCTCTGGGCTATCTTCAACTACACCTTTTTTGACAATAAGCACTTCCTCCACTGAACAAGTTGCTGAGGACTGCATGTTCCCACTTATCCTGCCTCCATGCCTCAGAATAAATCACATTAAGCCTTGGTTCTTCCAAATGAATACAAAACCAGGGAAAGAGAAGTCAGGAAAATACTGTAAGTCAACTGAAAATATGGGGAAGGTGTAATTTCCTGCTAATAATCTGCTTGCAAGATCCCCAGTATAATTAAGGAGCTTGGTAAGCCAGACCTTCATCTTCATAGCTACTATATAACCTTCAATGTTCTGCCTACTCAGCTTTTAGGGCTGACAATTCCATGAAGAATGCACAACTGGATAAATGACCTACAGTGACATAAACAGAGAACTATACTTGTTCCAGAGATATACCTTAAGGGGATCCATTCACAAGGGGCAGTTTTATGTATTCATGAAGTATTCACAAAACAATGATAGGTTTTCAGTGATTATCTGGGAATTCCACAGTGACTGTACATGTAAGACACAATGTATAGTTGGAAAAGTTGGAGAATAATTTCTATAATAATTGTATTTATTTGCAACACTATCATCAGTGTATAACATTCTTCTTCATATCCTTTCATATTGCTTCATGACAGTCATTTGGACTGATGTTCTCTAGTATCTCAAAAGTAATTCTAGTTTGCATTCCCCTAATGTGCATGAATATTGAATACTTTTAAAATAGGTATTGACTATTTATGGTTCTTTTATAAAATGTCCTACATTCAATGGTTCAGTTTAAACATTCCACAAAAAGAGAATTAAAGATGTAACTAACATACATCCCAGCTATTGTTCTCCTAAGCATATACCTAGAGAATGCCACATGCTATTATAGAAAAAGGTATATGACCAAGGAAATGAAGCCAACCTAGTGGATGAAGCAACAATGGTCATTTGCTAAATTTGTTAAGGTACATAATATGGGATAACCATTTATGTCTTAAGAAATATTAAATCAAAAAAATTTGTAGAAAACTATATGTAAAATATACAAATAAAAGTGAAGTCACCGATCTCAGGAAGAAAAGG